CACCTAGAGATAGGTAATAATTCAACATAACTGATTACCTATTAGCATCATCAAAATAAAATAATTTGAATTTATTAATGTCATCAACATATGTAAGAGATAGATTGGTTTCTTGGATAGAAAACTGGCTATATGGATGAAAGCAGAGGGTTGTTATAAGTGGCGTTCAATAAAACTGGGGTACCACAGAGCTCAGTGGTAAGACCTCTGCCCTTTTGATTTACATCAATGACATATATGAAACAATAGTCAACAGAATATTTAAATTTACTGATGACATTAGTTTTGGGTGTTGATGGCTGTAAGGAGGATGCTACTACTTTTACAAAAGGATTTGGATTAGTTGGTGACTTGGGCAAATAAATGACAGATTGATTTTAATCATAATAAATGCAAGGTTGATGTGAATAACCTTAAAATAGTATGCAAGAAAAAATATTTTGGTGCTCTAGTTCATCAGTCTCTTATGCCATTCAAGCAATTTGCTGTTGCTATTAACAAGGGCAAACAGGATTTTAGGTTGTATCTATAAACATTTTGAATATAAGCCTAAAGAGGTTATAACCTCACTGTATAGGCTACATTTAGAGTACTGTGTTCAGTCTTAGGTTCCTTACCTTTGAAAGGACATTGAATTGTACAAAAGGGATCTGATTGGGATGTTTAAGATTGTTAGTAGAATTAATGATTTTGATGCATCATTTTTTTGTATTTAAGGGGAGAATGATAAGACAAGGGGACACAAATATAAATTTTGGCAAGGTAAGTATTTGAATGATAAGGACTAGTTTTTGAATTTTGTAGTTTTATTTTAGTGGATAGGATGGCTTAGGTATACCAAAAGGTCCTTTCTTGCCCTTTAATATTATGATATAATCAACTAACTGAAGTGTTTCCAATTATTATTGTTTTTGATTATTCCAACTATCCAACTAATTGAAATATTAACATTATGATATCTCATTAATTAATTAAATGTTGTTCATCTTAATCATGTGAAAATAACTGATCAGCTGAATGTAATCAATTAATGAGTCCAATGTTTAATCCATTATCAAATCCTACTAATTGCCCAGCTCTTGCCTAACCAATCTTGTAACAGGTTAGATAGATTTTCTCTTTTAACTTTACAATTTCTATAAATACAACACTAACTATAGTAATTATTTTCATCACAGCAAACACTCTGCTGAAGGTTTTAGGGATTTATCAGTAATCACACAAAATTCTTTTATTTTACCCAAGACAAGTGTTTCTTTAATATCATTTAAGATATCTCAATCTTGAGCATACTTTACATACTTATTCACTCACTAAAATTCTGAATCAAAGGAACTCTCCACACACACTCAATAATTTACAGCATTCTTCTTTAAACAACAATGTTGGAAATACAATTGCTCAAGTTACTAACACAGATACTAACAAGATCTCATATTGAAAATAATTAACTTTCTCCCAGGCACAAAACTGTCCATTTATCACCACCCTCTGCTTTCCATAACTTAGACTTTTTTTCCCCTTCTGACTTTTCCATCAATTCTAAAAGAATCTAAATTGTAAATCATTTTTTGTAAATTACTTTATCAAAAGGCTTTCTGAAATACACATCGAATAGGATGCCCTCACATAAAACTGAAAAACCATATTTGATAAAATCAAGATGAAGAGACACAAAAGTACAGACAAATAATAAGAATCATCCTGATGAAAATATAAAAAAAAAAAAATCGCCAACTGAAGTACAAGAAACAAGTTGTTACAAAATACTTTATTTAAGCTATTTGGATTTGTAAACCCTGATACAAAATTCTAAAGTAAATGAACAAAGTGCTTAGTGATATAAGCCATGAACTCAATTTTGAAAAGGATTAAAGAAAATAGGTCCAAGTTAAGAATAAAGCACATCACTTAGGTTAGTAAAAAATAAGAAAGAATTATGATAAAATAGATTATATAACCTAATGTCACTACCTGATGTACATTAAGCAAAGTTCAGATCCAGAGAGAAAACAACACAACACTAGAGTCAAGTCACATTCTGGTCAAAAGAAGAAAAAAAATATGTTTATGAATGATGAAAAAGGTCAATCTAAAGAGAAAAAAGGAACCAGAAATATAAAATAAAGGTCAGCTGGCATCATTGCAAAAGTCAAGAATTCACATCCTAATAAAAAACAAAGGTTACCAAGTGAAGTAGATCATGTATTCTCTGGGAAAAGCTTCCAAAACATTTAAATTAAATACAAGATTTAAAATACATAAACCTGTCTGTTCCAACAAAAAACATATTGGGTATGTTTAACAAGACAAAAGCATTTTGTCAGCAACTGGTAAAACTCTTGATTAAGATCTAAAAAAAAATTTATGTTCACGTTATCTAAGTAAATGAAAAAAACAATGTGATCACAGCTTTCAATTTAGATAAACAGATTCATTCCTCTATGAATATAACAAACTTGAAAAATGATATTTAAAAAGCTCATTCAATAAATGTTATATTACCTTAAAACAAGCAAAAGTTGTAGTTATTGAGGTGTTTCAAATCTCAAAAGAATGTGAAACGTTTTGTACACTCTAAGTGGATGAATAATGAAATTCATAAAATTAAAATTTCAAGCTTATAAAAATATGAAATATACTAGTAAAATGCAAGATTATGCAATGAAAGATTTTTTAAAACAAAAGGATGTTATGAAATTATCTTGTCTGAAAATCATTTTTTTAACCATGTACACATAAAGAATCAAATGACAAATGATAAAAGATTCCCATGTAAATCTTATCAAAAAAGGAACATCGCAAGAGATGGTTAAAGAAGTTCTTTTTACAGTTAAAAGGAGATTCATACAAGCCGAAAAATTCCTTTGAACTTGAAAACCTTTCCATAAATTTGATATTGTTTAAGATAATACAGTTATGATGAATCTTTAGAAAATTGTTGAAAGTAAAGCTTTATCTTAAGTAAGCTTATTATAACTCTGAAAGAAATCTGGAATGAATACTTGCAAAAGTTTTACCTGTTGTTTTCAAGTTTTCTGACACTGGGGGATATTTCTTATGATTTAAAGATTAAAAATGTTATCCCTATTTTTTAAAATCATCTTGTTAAAAGAAAACAGTGAATACTGTATGTTATGAAATGACACATTATAAATGAGGTTATCAGTATAATTATATTTGATCTTTATAAACTGGTGTGGAAATTAAGATGATTACTTTTTAGTAAAATTGATTGGTGATAATAAATGACCATTCTTGTAACTGAAGTCTATTTTAGGACTTGTTGCTTGTTATTTAAGTAAACAGGTCAATATATTTGAAAATAATATTTCTAAGTTCACTGATACTACCAGATATCATGAAGGGTTTATACTGTTAACAATGTTCTTCTGACACAAAAAGAACTGAGAAATCTTACTGATTGTGATAGAAGATGGACAGTATTTTATAATACAGAAAAGTATAAAATTATACAGCTGAAAGTATGGAAATTTAGAAAGAACTTGCCTATTGTCTTAGAGGAATTACTGATATGTTAAAAGAAATGGACATATGAGTAACCAATGATAAAAGTTTGAAGACCAACTGAATGTTCAGCATATGGTGCTAGAAACAAAGAGATCTTGTTCTATTTATAGGAATCCTGAATTTAAGAGTATTGTAAATTAATAAGAGACTCTGTGAAGCTTTCATTGAAACATTGAATGTAGTTTTGGTCTTTGTTTACAAAAAGATAAAGTTAAAGAAAATATGGAGATCAGCTACTCAAACTATATCTGGTTTTGTAAATTTAAGCTACAAAGAAATATGCAGCACAATATAATTTTATTTAGGTATTAAAATTGCTAAGGTTTTGAACAATCTTCCCACAAGTGGTTTAGTTAGTGAAAATGAATAAATTGAACATACTAGTAGTTGAGCAGCTTAGATGAATTATTCCAAGACAAAACTAATTCTCTGTTAATTGAAATTAAATAAAAAGAAGTAATCATTTATAAAATAAATTTCATACACACTTTCATATTGCTGTCTGGATGGTTTTTTTTATATATAAAGGAAGAGTTCAATAACAAATGAAAGATAATTACCATACTTTTAGAATAAATAATCCATGTACTGCTATTTGGCCTCACAAAAACATTACTTTTTATTATGTAATTAGAGTCCAAGCTCAACAATTTTCTAGATTAATAAGACACTGAAAAATCAAACATAAGTTTTATTTAATAGCTTAGAATTTCAAATAATAGTTTAAAATACTCCATCAAGTCATAATAACTTAATTATGAAAATGTCATCAGAGAGGATTTTATTCTGAGATAATAGATTTAGTCATTAGTCATAATCTATTGCTGAATCACTACAATTTATTTAAAGCTATGAATATTTCACACATATTTTAGATTAAATTTGTATAAGCCTAAGGCCTAGCAATTTACAGAAGAACTTAGTAATTTTAAACGGAATATATCTAGTTCCACCCACTCTTATTCTACCATTATTTTATCATAGTTAAAACTAAATAACCACACACTTGATACAGCGTACAAAAGTCAAAAATTGCTTTGTGATCCTGATAGTGATAGCGTAACTTCCATAACATAAGGGTTCATCCACTTATTTCAAATATTACTGTTTTAATCAAATGCCTTGTTCTCAGTCTAAGTAATTATAAATTTGTGGTATTTCCAAAACATACAAGATAAATAATAAATACATGTTGATTAAATGAATGATATATTTGCCATGGGGTGACGCAAGTAACCCCTCTAACGCATTGCCATTGAGGCAAAATACTAGGCCTAACTCAATAAATGTACTGTAATGTTCAGTGTTACACTGTTAGTAAGACTACGCACAACAAAAAGCAGGTTTCATTCAATTCATGACATCCTAGGCTTTGGTTTTTCGAAATATCCACAATCATTCATATTTTATTATATCACTAACAAAATTTTAGAATGATATTTACCAAGTTTCAACAAATAATACTCAACCTTGAAACTTGATGTTTTCCGAAATTAACTTCAAACACCATGAACACGAACAGAAAAAAAAATGTAGTCATTATCCGTACTCAAACACAAATCCGCAGCAACGGGCGCACCACTACACGTACATACACTTACGACCCAACAAACTCAGATATGACCAAGCTACTGTAGCTCAATGATTGTAACTTACACTTCCAGGGGCGCTTTAATAGCATGAATATAGTGTGGCCTATTATAAGTGCAAAGGGTAATGCGTGAAAAATAATCATATTTCAATATTTTTCTATTTTTAAATATATATAAGTCAAACATTCATAGATTTACAGGAAGCATATTAATGTGTAAATACACAAAAGTGTTTGGCAAACCTGAAATTTACCAAGTAATCATGATACACTTAAATTATACGATAATAATACAAATACCGAAAATACTTGTGTATAAGAAATAGCTACATACATATTTCTAGCAAGGCGTTTTTAAGTAAATAAGTAATTTCATACAGCAATACATAAAAATAATATTTATGAAACAATCTGCCATACTTGAGAATTACTAGGCTTAACATTACAAACGTCTTTTTAATGTCGTTATTTATTGTTTTTGCTTTATCACTGAACAAGTTTAATTCATAACATCTTACATGGTAAATTCAAGGGCCCTAGCTCTAGGCACAAAATCACACTATCAAATTGTTTCAGTTAAACACTGTTCAACAATGTTAGATGTCAGTAGGTTCAGTTGAAATCAAAATTTTTATATATGCTCTTGCTTTGAAGTCGATGGCTTCAAATATTCTACTGTTTTGTCATATCGGCGCTGTACTGGTAAACACACAAACAAACAAACACACACACATATATATAGGGGGAGAGTAAACTACCCCCCTTTTTTGTCCAGTGTTAAGGGCGTGCAAAACACTCTGGATTTAACCACGTTTGCTCTCTACCACTAGCATATTAATAGTCAGTAAGCGTGTCATTAGGATACAATGAAATTGATCATAATTATAGGAAGACTCACAACTCATTAAACCAACTTCGGCATTATATCCCTTTAAACATAGCACGTTTTTGTAATGCATTTTTAATGATTATTGCTACTATGTCTTAGAAGGTTAGTGGATAAAACGGTCATATATTTGACATAATTTTCTCAGTTGGTATACATATACCCCCACTTAAACTTAATCGTGTTCAAATGGCACATTTGTAATCGAGATTGTGGAAGGAAAATGGTGAACAATTTTCTATATATATATATATATATATATATACTGCTGTACCGTACATCCGTCCGTTGGCCGTACAGCAGTAATCTATTGCTGAATCACTAACTAATTTATTTAAAGCTATGTAATATTTCACACATTATTTT